CCCTCCCCCCCGACGTAGGAGAACTTTTATTATTCATATCATTTTTCTTTCCCGCCAAACCATCTTACTGACGCAGGTAGTACATTTGATCGAAAATAACCAATTCTTAGCTATATCGAATTACCTTTACTAATTCATGATTATAACTATACTAGGTCGTTGTAGTAGCAAGTAGGATAAATATTGTAAGAAATATACAATTTTTTTAGAGACATGTTTCGGCATACTTATGCCATCTTCAATCAATGAGTAACTGAACGTGAGTAATTATATAACAGACAAGTAGATGAATAAAATATTTACAGTATGATGTAATACAAAAGCGTAGATCAAACCTGAACTTAACAAAAAATTACAGCATTATAACACTTTTCTAGCATTTCAGTTCACACCTTTAATTTCATCTTTGTTGTCACGCTGTAATTGGTACCCTCTTTTGTATTACATCATACTGTAAATATTTTATTCATCTACTTGTCTGTTATATAATTACTCACGTTCAGTTACTCATTGATTGAAGATGGCATACGCATGCCGAAACATGTCTCTAAAAAAATTTTATATTTCGTACAATAACTACAATAGTCATTTATTTCCATTTTTGTCGTACCATTTGATTGTCGTGTGCATGTTAGCAATTTAGTGCATCTTTCAGTCCTGTGTTTTCATTCTCGGACCACTGAGTTGGACTATTAGTTAAGACCAAGTCTAGGACGCGCAAATAAAGGTTTATTAACACTTTTTCTACAGTTTTTTTCGTCAACCTTTTTGATCTGACGTACTGGCTTTACACAAGGAAATCAAAATAAAGCTTCCCTTCTAATCCAGGATTAGTGCTACCCACCCTTACAAACGTCCGGACGAACGCAAATATTCAACCTTTATAATCTGGCAAATCTTTTCCAAACACTCTCGAGTGAAGCATCTTTCCACTTAACGGAATTTATGAATATTATCATCAACGTATGATGCACGATCCTCGCAGTAGATAGCGCTATTTATGCAATAGCGAAAATCAGACCTGAAAAAAATCAGGCCTGTACGGGACTCGAACCACTGACCTCTGCGATACTAGTGCAGCGCTCTACCAATTGAGCTAACAACCCAACTGGGAATAGGTCGTTAAGTTGATTNGGTAAATTAAAATGTCTAGCGACTGGTTTCGATGTGTCCTTGTCATTCCTTTCCACGTCTCGAAGGTGTTCTCGGAATCGGTCACCTAGTCTTCTGCCTGTTTCGCCGATGTATATCTTTTTGCAATAAGTGCAAGTTATGCAATAGATTACATTAGCGGAGGTGCACGTGAAGTGATCGGTGATCTTAATGGATCGTTTAGGTCCCGATATTTTATCAGTGTTGTGAATGAAAGGACACGTTTTGCATCGTGCACGAGCGCATTTAAAAGTGCCTGGTTGCTCATTAGTCTGAAAAGAACTTCTGACCAAAAAATTGCCTAAGTTTTTGTCGCGTTTGAATGAAATGAGCGGAGGCTGCGAAAAGATAGTGCCTGTCTCTGGATCGTTTTGAAGTAATTTGAAGTTTTTAAGAATGATGGATTTAACTGAGTGGTTGTGAGGGTGAAACGTGAGAGTGAATGGAATGCGGTCGGAATCTTCCTTATGCGACGTTTGTAGTGCTGAATGTCGATCAATAAGTTGAGCGCGGTGGTAACCCGCTTGAACGACGGAAACAGGGTAACCACGTTCATCGAAGAACTGGCACATTGACTCTGATTTGTGGTGAAAATCAGAGTCATTACTACATAAACGACGAAGTCTTAGAAACTTAGAAGTCTTGTAAACACATGACCCTTTTTTGAGGAAAAAAAGATCCTGCAGAGAACTCAGGAGGGGAAAAAAATATCCTACAAAACATTTAGAACGGAAAAAAATATCCTGCCCAGCAGATTGCTAGAAAAAAATTTCTTGATGACCAGAAATCACCCACCTTCCCCCCCTCAAAAGTTAAATGGTCGGCCCCTAAGCTCTGTTGCTTTGAAAGGTGTCTTCTGAAACAATAAACATTAATTTGGCACACAGTTGGACAGAAACGTAATTACAAAGCTCTTTGGCTCGCTTATGCCAGATGCTGATTAATTATTCATTACAATTTTGTAGTCGTGTTTTCCTGGCCAATCTAATAAACTTTCCGAAAGCTGGCACGGTACAGGTTATTTGTTCAAGGAATCAATAATTTGCTTGTAATAACATGGTCCCATAATTAATTTCAAGAATGAAAGATATTAAACAAAGCTAATGATAAGGATTACATTTTGGAATAAGTGTCAGTGATAAGGAATATTTTGTAATAATGAAATTATGATAATGAATTCAGTGTTAACTTTCCTCGTTTGTCGTGGAGAATCTATGCTGAAACCAAGAATGGCAAAACAAAAACAAGAAACTGTAAACCAAACTGACATTATCAAGGCCCAAAGCTGCTGACTCAAAAGGCAGTCAAAGCAAAGAGCGAAAGCAAGGTTAACATTGTAACTAATGTTGACATGGTTAGACTGCATGGTATATTGTTGGATACCAAAGGCGCTAATGGCTGTCAATGCAAACATGTGCTCGAAAAAAATCGATTGCCTTGAATTCGTTTGTGTTTACTGTCCAAGAAAGAGCAAAGAAAACGCCTTTTCAACCTTAACCCTTTCAGTTTAGCATTGTCTCAGTTAACCTGATGTTGTTATAGAAACCAACATAAGGCGAGTTTGACGTGGGCTGCATGGTTGTGGCGAGATGCAACTCATGAATCGTTTATGAAAGGCGGCTGTTTCAAAGCATAAGAACAATCAAAGCCTGTTCCATTAAATTTTAAGACCACAAGCGTCGCAAACGGTGTAATAATACAAAAATTCTAGCACTCTTCCTCTGAGCTGTATGTAACAGAAATTTTTTAACTCTGTTCGTTTCTCTAAAAAACACTACTGCGTAATTTCCTACTCGTTAACTGTCGGGGGCTTTCATGTCCCAAAAGAATTCGTCATGAGCTCAAGACAAGATAATGCAATTCAAATCCGCACAATTAAATTTAATAATCGAACTCTTTTCAGACTGAAATTTGCATATTTCTCTGGAACGCTCATTCCAACCCTTTCGTTTGAACAGCTGTGCCTAGGTCCAAACAGGGCCAAGGAATTGAAAGAGACTGCCCGAGATCCTTGACGCAGTACTCGAGTTTTCGCATAACTAAGAAAGAAGGCAAATTCTTCGCAGAGCGGCAACGCGAACCATCGCCCCTTGCCATTTTTCTAACATCTCACCTTTTTAATGACGAAGTGTCAAGACTGTCCAGCAACATAAACGGTTAGGGGAAACTTGAACGAAGCGCTTTCGGGTGTACCCGTACACAGTTCTCAAAGTGAACAAATATTTATTTCAACAATGTTTTTTTTTTTTTCCGGTGAACACAAGAGTCATCGGTAATCTCTTTTCGCTTCAACAAAATTACCATCCTCTCTATACTACTCAAGTCGCCCAATGCCCGACAGCGCCCAAAAGTAGGCAACGCACGAGGCGTTGTTTCGAAAGACATGTGAGTTCAAATTCACACAAGACTGAACTTAAATAACACACGAAGGAAAAAGATACTGATTTGAAAACTATTGGCAATAACGTTAATATTTGCCAATAAATACGCCATTTAATCTTACAGCGAAGTTACGGAAAGCCAGTACATTTTCTTACAAAATAGAAATTTAGAGTAGTACAAATGCTTAAATAATTATCAAACAACATCAATTCCCAACAGTCTAGTCTTGATAAATAGTAGAGACGAAAGAAAGCTTACAGTTCGAAAGTGGTTTTTCGTTCTTGCGGTGTCGTTGAAAGCCACGCCATCTTCATGCGTTCGCAAGTTTTTCAGTTACGTGAAGCCACAATGCCCTAGAATTCTTAAGCTAGGAGGCTTTAAATCACAAATCAAAGAAATTCTTCAGAAAATGTCCGGGTTTTATCCGCAATTCTCTTGTTACCCAAAGCTTGAGAAAACAACCAAACTAAACGCTGTTAGTGCAAAGTTTTTAAAATCATCAAGGAGGTGTGGCGGCAACCGTTCTCTCATGTAGCATCAAGAAAAAATATAATTGAGAGCAGCCACCAAGAAAGCTGCAAGCAAAATGAAAATGGAGGGCATGGCACTGAGTCCGAAGCTTGCTGTGGTCGTTGTGGCTGGTTCAGTCGTTGGAGTTGTTTGCGTTGCGTTCGATGTGGCAACTGCACTCGATGTCGCAGCCGCGGCGCTTGTATTAGGGGCGACTACTGTTGAATTGGCATTACAGCAGGCAATCAGTACAGCAAAGAGTCCAACAGCGAAGAAGTACTTCATTTTCCTTTTCTCTCTTGAAATTTTTGAGCGATACTCCACAGCACTGCAACGAATGTCACAAACAGCAACAGCGAAAGTACCTCGTGGGAAAGTTTCGCGCTTTGAAATACTCTGATACTGACAATCAACGTCATTATAGTAGTCGATTTGATTGGTTAATTTTATTGTTATGAACCAATGAAACGCTGGTTGGCACGTTGAAAACATGTGGTTTAAACCTCGATTTCGTTCAGGAAGAGTCAGAAGTTGTAGCCTCGATTTCGTCCCTCCGTTCAAAATGGCGTCGATAGCTATTGGAAGAGAGTATGGCTACGTTGTTCTCACATCTGTTGCCTCTGGCGTGATGATTTTTTTCTTAGGTTTGAACGTGGGAAAAGCACGGAAACTCTACAAAGTAAATGTATGTATGTCATCTTTACCTTTAGTTAATAATGACCGTATATAGTTCTGACAAAGTGAATGTGAGCTCGAGCTCCGATATCCGATCTATCTCTTCGATAGTTGTGATAAACCCAACGTTTTATGACGAACCATCCGTATTAATTGAGATTTCTCTTAGTGCATGGGTTGTATTGTATTCTAGCGTTGCACGTAGAAGAAATTCGATCATCTTTAATCATGAAAATTTCATGACAGGCTGTGCTAAGCTGTCATAATGACCGAATCACTATGTGTATTTCAGTATCAGATCCAAGTCCATCCAGTGGTGAATATGCACTTGCACATCGAAAGAAATAAAAATCTTTTCTTTTTGAACTCTAATGAATAGAAGAACTCCATTTTTGGTAGTTTGATACCCCCGAGACGTTGTCGAAACCTGTCTCACTTCTTTAAGATTTAAAATTGTTTAAGATCCAGACACGTTTTATTCCATGTGTGACAACTTCCATTTGTTCTCATTTATTTATACTCTTCATCCCAAGCTTACCATATAAGGTTATGTCCATTGTTATCTCAATTGCTAGTTGTCTGCAACAGATAATGGTGGAAATTGTTCCATTATTTAACAAATCACCATATTATTTATATCACTAAATGAAAGGAATTCTCTTCTTTTCTTATTTGATTGACTTAACTCTGGTGAAAACAATTGAAAATAGTTTCTTGGGTCAGATTGAGTGTGTATTACACAATTTATGCCAAATTAGAATTGATCAAGTTGAGAATTTGTGGTTTCTGTTAATTTGTTTTCAACATTAATGTTTATCCTTATCTACTTTCTACATAGTTAATTTTGTCTTAGAATTTGGTTTATAGGACATAAAAATAGCACTCAGCTAAGAGGAAGAATACGATTCAATTTATTAGCGTCTTAAAAAATACTTGTAAATTATTTAAAATCCTTACCTCTACTCGAGGCAATTGTCATCTCAACCTTTTCCTTCTTACACAAAGTAAGCACCAAGTGTTTCTATAGATACTCAGTGTGGTTTCAGCGATTAATGATAAAAACACCCCTCTGAGTTTCATTTGGTAGGTTTGACTGTAATTCATTTTGAATATTACATACCGTCAACAGAAGAAAATTTAGTAAGAGTGNCTTTATCAACCTAAACAATAATTTACAAAATAAATATATGAACTCAATAATGATTGGAGTTAAATAATTGTTTGCTCCTGTTTCCTTTATGTAACACTCGACCTTAGTTCCTGTAGCCACGTGCTTCACAGTCCAAAGTTGTATTTTTGTAGAGTTGTTGATTTCTGTGGACGATAATTTTGAATTAATTAGTGTTATTCCGCACACGAGAAACATGTTTCCGAACTAGCAACATTTCGCCAACATTTGGTTTGCGGTTTAGTTAAAGACTTATATTTAAACAAAGGTCTCATATGTGAAGTAATTACAGCCTCCTTTTCATGCAACGAAATGGAAAGAGAGAAACCCTGAGATACGCTTTGCAAACGATCATTATCAGGAGGTGTTGACTATCCTGCCAAGTTATATCGCTATTATGGAAGCAATGCAACAATTTCAGGACTGCAATCCCCTTTTGTGGTACACCAATATGGACAGTAAGATGATGTTATATTAAATAAGCTGTAGATTGGATGTAAAATGCGAAACAATCGAGTTTGCGAGTGAATGTGTACATTTTCGAATAACTGACAGCATCTTCAAATCAGCTCATTTTATCCAACTTTAAAATTTGATTAAATCGCACTGAATCATTTCCCCAAAAAATCCTTTGGAGATCGAAAAGAACCACACTTCGCCTTCCAAAAGCCAGATTTTGAGTTGATTATTTTGTATAGCACATAGTTAAATAACAGGTTACTTTCAACCTATTTTAAATCTTATTAGAAGAAGGTCAGATAAATGCAATTATGTTTTCTAAATAAATGATCAAAAATTGCTCAAATTGCTGTCAAATTATGTATTGATGTTGTTTTTCAAGATTTGGTCATTTTTATCGGTCCAAGTGTTTTCAATTCGTGGCACGACGCTCCGAGATTTGTCTGAAATTTTGACCTTCAAAAGCTACTTTTGGGCGAAATTCAGCTTTTATCAATTTTCTCGAAAATAAATCGATATTCAGCCAAATGAAGTATGCAGTGCTTTGTTTCACCATAATGCCTACCTAACTTGAGAATATGAGTCGATCAATTTTTCAGCTGTTGCCACCATATGTTGAAAATGTTTGATTTTTGGCCACATTTCCTCTTAATTATCCATCCTGCATACATCTAATGACTGTCGATGTTGAAGGTCTCCTGAACTCATGACTCAGCTATATGAACCTGTGACAAATTCAAATTATTTAGTTCTCTTTTATGTCATAAATCTTGGTGCTCTACTGAATAACCAGCATCAACCTCTTGCCCATTTAATCCATATTGTACATGTATGAGTAGAAAATCACATCATTTTTAACTGCACATACCTTTTTTTCGACAGTACCCCAAGATGTATGATGACAGTAAGCCTATCTTTAACTGCTATCAAAGGGCGCACCAGAACACGTAAGTGTGTACCCACCTTCTTACTGAAACTTGTGAATGGGAAACAAGACTAAACTGTATGAGAGTGCTCTTGTTAAATATGTTGTATTCAAATTTTTTCTGTGTATCAAACTTTTCAAAGTAGTTTGATTTCTGTTTTTCTCTGAGTTAGGGTTAAATAATGAATTCAAGATAAAGGAAAATGACAATTCAAGTAGTTTAACAAATTTGAAACCAAGAGGAAATGGGTGACACAATTTTCCCAGTGTATACTGGTAATCTTTGTAAGTTAACAAGATATTTATGACCTGTGCAGAGCTACCTTTCACCTTAATGTACACTCTATGGATAGTCAAAATGCTTTGTCGAGCAGTTTTGACTGGCAACAAGAAGAAAAAAATTGAAATGACTTGTTTGGCTGATTTGCAATAACTCAGAAAATTAATTTCCTATTTGAAAGTAGCTGTAAGTTATATTTTTTTGTATTTGTCTGAACACTTGATTGTTTCTTCCCATTTTTTTTTTCAAATTAAATTTAGTGTTTCCAGTATATTGTCAACTATTTTAAGTGCAATTTCCTCCAGTAGAGGAGATTTCCTTTCCAGCACTTCTCTTCGCAGAAACTGAGTTTTGTAGTAATACTACTATAATTACTATTACAACTTTCTCTTTTTTCATGTGTTTTTGCACACACAGTTGAAAATCACAATTCCAAATATCCAATAAGAATGTTTTACACTCAACACAGTCATATATTGAGAAGTGATTCCATACATTGTAATATTAGATGTTGGTGTAAGAATTACTTTACTTTACTTCCCTGCCTTAAATAGATTTGGAATGTGAAATGAAAACAGTAGGTCATGAGGCTTCTTTAAAAGATATAACTAGCCCAATTTAATAATTAGGATTATTGTTTGTTCTTTTGCACCTGCTCATATTGTAAAAAGGTGATGATGCCAATTGTTTTTTTGGATGTATGGTTTCGAGGACAAACTATTCTGTCCCAGAGTGAGAGTGTGTTTGCTGTGTGACTTCTTCAACTTAAATCATTTTCAAAGTAAATAGTACTCAGAGGAAGATTAAAAGCACAGAATTAAGCTAAAAAGGGTCATCTAGGGGAAAATAGACATTTTGACCTGGATAGGGATGTAGTCATGAATCTGATCCACTGACCATTATATAAAGCATTGACAGTCACACGCGCCCAAGTTGAAAACGTTTATCCACAAAGTCATTATTTTCAGAAGCAATGAACAGCATATGGTTTTTAGTTTGAAGTTCTCATTGTTCAATCAATTCAATGCTGTTCAATGGAAGAGGTGCCCTGCTTGTGATTGACCTGAATGTAACACCAAGACACATACAAGTCACATTGAAGCTATGATTGTAAGGGAAAGTCATCATTGGTTTTTTCCTTAACAATCCTATTTGACACTAGTTATAATTAAGGGCTTGACAAAAGATAGCATATTTTAAGTTTGAAATAGATCCATATGCTGGATGAATTTTCAGATGATTAATTTGCTCCAGATTTCTTTTAACACAAGCACGGGAAAGGCAAACACTGTCTTTCCCTCTATTATTATTTTTTTTATCACATAAACATATCTGTTAATAGAGGAGACCAAAAAAAAAGGTGCTTACCGTAGGATTCAAACCTACAGTCTTTTGCTTTCTGAGCTACTAGCCAGTTCACTGCACCACATCTGGAAACACTGAACTTGAGCATGAAATCTTGTAATTAAACAACTTGATCGATGACGATATGCAGACAATGGACATCTCAGCTTGTGGACCATGTTTATCTAAACAAAATTATCTTCTCATTTTTAATTACAGCACCAGGAATTATCTCTGTAAGTTAATAATCTTTGTCACATGAACACTTTTTATCATTGAATAAGATGTCAAAATACAACTTCTATAAACCTTTTATAAAAGTTTGTGAGTGCTTATAAAAAGATATTATAAAAAAAGAGCATTGTTAAATTTTCTTGGAAGTGGCCAGCCTTTCATTGATCACTGTCTGAGTTCAGTGGCTCATGGCCTCATTTGTAGGTAACTATGTGTAGGCTGTAACACACAGAAGAGGATGTACAACAGAGTTCCCATTAGTTTTGATAGTTAAGGGTCTGTGGGACCCCCAGGTCCAAAAAGTTGGGGGTCCTTTTAGCTTTTTTAGGGGTTACCTGCCTTTTACTAAAATTTGATTTTATAGTTTCTAACAGAGAGGCAAAAGCCAAGACCAGGTGTTAATGCTGTTAATAGAGCTTTAATTTTGGAATAAAGTGTGCACATGTTTCTTAACAAGAACCATTTGTTTTTCGGTCGAATCATATTTAACCATTGAAACTCCTCCAACCATTTAGGACAAAATTTGTGTTTCTTTACTTGGGTATCATCCCCCAGATCTGTATCACTTCCAGGTTTCCCCTTTCGAATATTGAATATATTGAATGAGCCCTTCAGAGTAGATGTGGTCTTGACCATGACAAAATGGCAGGTCAAAGGACATGCCATGATGATTGCAGTAATTCTTGGGTAGAGCCCACCAGACCCAGTCTCCTAACTAGTCATAACCTTTTTCTTGTGTCCCAAGGACGCACATTGGCAAAAACTGTGTGTCCTTTTTATTTTTTGTGCGTATAAGACGCACACCTGTGTGTTAACGGGAACTCTGGTACAACACATCTTGTAATTCAAGGCAATCGCCTTGATTATTCGGAACAAATACGAATTTTACATGTTAAATTATTTAATTTTGTTCTTTGCTCTAGGCTTGAAATTTATCCTCAGTTCCTGCTTATGCTGCTGCTTGGAGGATTGGAACATCCTGTAAGTTTAGAAACGTCTTTTAATATCTCCCTCACAAAACATTGAACGCACCTGAATCTTTGCTAGTTTGTTTGAAAATTCATCCTCTTTTTCTTCCTGATTCTTGACTTTATTTGTGGAATGGTTTTGATGATGGTAAGACACAGAAAACTGGCAATAGCAGGTTTTTTTGCTATAATTTAAATAAAAAATATATTGAACTCTTTGTCTCAGATCAGAAATACATTGTAGGCTGCTTACATTAAAATTATTTTAAACACAGAATAAGCCATTACAAACTGTCTGCCCAGTTTTTCCCACTAAGATGAGGTGGCAAAAGTTGTAATATTGACACTTCCAAGATATCATTTTATAGAAATATGAAGGTTTTTCATTTGGCCTGGTCCTCAAACAATTGCCACCCACTATTAACAATCCCCCCCCCCCAAGTCACAAAAAGTTTTAGCAAATAAAAAATTATGGTATTCATTTCAGTTATTCATCGGATGACTCCTTTACTTTCCTATCCCACACAGTCACTTTTTATTTGTTGGGGTTTTCTTTCTCTATGATGTAACAACATCTCAGGAAGTAAACTTATCAAGGAATGCATCAAACCTTTCAATAAGTCCAGCACATTAAATTTTAAGCTGCTGTATCTGCCATATTTTTGTGTATAGTGCTATTTGTTATTTTTTAGGTGGTAACTTCTGTAGCAGGACTTGTCTGGGTTGTAAGCAGGCTTTTTTATGCCCATGGATACTACACTGGAGGCAAGTAATACATACTTATGACCTCAACTCTCAATATACAGCACTGTGTTCAGAAAACGGTGATCCTTGGAGAAATCAATATTAAGGAAGTTGTTTCTTTGTATCTAGTCAAATGAATTGGCAGCAGGCTCTATGTTCAGGGATAAGTGGATTTCCCTTTTTTGATCTCACAGCCACATTTGACTCCCAGAAGAGTAGGAAATGGTGCAATGAAACTTGGAAATGATCTAACACCTCATTACTACACATCACAGAAATGGAAAAATATTTAAAAGAATTAAAGTTGTAATTATTTCTCATAAGAAATGTGAATGACAACGGGAGTACACTGTATTGCCTTTTATTCCTTTGTCCTAGTTGTACGATCCTGGTAACCTTTGTTGTGTTTTTATTTCAGATCCCAAGCAGCGCATGCGTGGTAGCTTTGGTTACTTAGGTTTCTTTACGTTGGTTGGATGCACTGTCAAGCTGGGAGTTCGCTTGCTAGGTTATTTCTAATCCAGTGTATCACCCTAAAGAACATGTTAATACTACACTCGTTTCCTGACTCGCCTGGATGCCTCACTAGAGCATTCCAATCCCTATAGATTATTCCTACAATGGAATACATACTTACATTTTTTATCTCTAGGAATTCTTAGGTCTTCTAATTATATTGTATCAGCACCAGACTAGTATGCTTTTTTCGTCATTTTTGTATCATTGATTTAAACTCAATAGTAAATGTACAATGTAGGTCTAAGATCAATGAATAGTTAAGGTTTACGAAGCCACCAAACCAATGAAGTAAAGTAGACTGATCTCTCAGTTGCCTCGCTTTGTAACCACACAAGTAGCGAAGACGTCAACTGAAAGGTGTGGTGGCTAAGCGTGTTAAAAAAAAAAAAAAAAAAGAAGTGACTGTGTGCGTAGTACCCAACTAAAAGAATAGCGAAGACGTCAATTGAAAGCTGCGGTGGCTAATTGTGTTTAAAAAAAAAGTGACTGTTTGCGTCGTACCCAAACCCTTAGCTTGAAAAATTTACGTCGGCGAAGTTTTTAATATCCACAAGAGTGAGGAACATGGAGTCCATTTATTTTGTCTGGCGAAAACTAAACAAATGTATTTAGTCACTATCTGTCCTGTAAGGTTTCCGTATGACAGCGTACTACTGGTCCAGTTGAAACTCGTAAAACCAAAGTCAGCAATCACGACAGCCAATTTGAACGAAGGAAAATATCTCAAGCCAACAATGGCACAAAGGGAAGGAAGATGGTTGAAAATAATAGAAATGAAAAAAGGAGTAGTTTGCAAGCTTCACGCGGTAGTCTGTGCCCAAAAGTTACCTATTCTTTCCGAGGCAATAATCGTGTTTCAATGTTGCACTTAATGGTACCAAACTAATTAA